AGCGATTAATTAGATAATGATGAATTTTACCCTATAAGAAGAGAATGCTTTTAAGTTTTATTTTCTAAAGTGCGCCATCTGTGGCATCCTTTAAAAGAAGTCCGATGACCCTTCCCCAGGAATAAAGGTCAAGCAATCAAGTATCAAGTAAGTATCATTATTAGATATCTATGGTTGCCGAAAATCGCTGGTAAAAAACGTAATTTTGTCTAGGCCTGTGGTGATGTGATGATGATGAATTTTAGTATATAAAAGTGTCATTTCCGATCACCTACAGCTAACTATTTCCTAAAATTGTCGAACCTCATTCCCAACCATGGTGGGCCTAAGGTGAATGTGGACTCACGAAATGTCCCCTTCAGCTTTAGCAGCAGATCTGCGCCGTTGCCAAAACCACCCACCCCACTTCTTAGTGCTTCACAAATCGCATTATCCAGCCCCTCCCCTACTGCTAAATCCTAGATCCGCCACTGCAGGGGACCCAGGTCGGCTATATAATATGTAGGTCAACTAGATAATTATTTACTATGTGACTACAATAGAACCACTCCTTTGGGACACCCTATTTAGGGGACACCCATATTAAGGGGACACTTTTCCGTGAAACGAGGGGCAAAATCTCTTTAAACACTACAGCCAATCCCAATTAAGGGGACAGGGATAATTTTTGAGTGTGCAAAATGGAAAAATCAATACAATTTCACCCCTATTAAGGGTACACTTCTTTTTTATTTTATCATAACAACTACAGTAGTCACAAAATAAGAAAAAAAAATCATTCAAATTTATATTTTGGCACCTTTTGAGCAATAAATTTAACATCAAACCAGATTTTTTTCCATTCTTAGAATGGCCATTGGATGCCTACATGTGTTACTTCGTAGAAATAAAATCTTTGTTATTTTTTAAGATTAGCCATGGAGATTTTTTGTTTTGTGTATTTTGATATAGATTTTAATCTATCCGGACAACCTGCATCGTGGTTTTTTAGTTCGTAACATCTATTAATCGAGTATTCTATCCTGTGCATTAGAAAAAGAATATTTGGTCATTAACATTTCACACAAATAAAGAAATAATATCGGGAACATACACAAATTTTGTAGTTTTAATTACATATCTGTTAATTTCATATCTTAAATGAATTATTTTTTGCATTGCAAATTATTGTTATAAATTAGTTGTAAATAAACTATAACTCATTCTTAGGTCAGTTAACAAAATTATAAAGAATCTATGTCATAATTATACGAATACATGTCAAAAACCCCTATTATTTGGACAATTAATAGGGGTTAGGGGTTTTTAAAATTTTTTTGACGTTTTTGGTTAGTGTACCTATATATATGGCCTGTCTCTTATACACATCTAGATGTGTATAAGAGACAGCATCTCGGCGGTAGTGCGACTCAATCTATCAAATGCTATTTAACAAATTCTGTGTACAAAGACATGACTTTTAGTTAGACAATGCACGACATTTTCATGCTGGTTAGCAATTGGTGATTAAATCACTAATTGAATTTTGATGTAAGTGTAACATAGGTTAAATAACACGTCGTCATGTTATTTTAGTGTAGGGTCGCATACCAACGTTACATGTAAGATGAACAATACACAAGTAGCATTACAACGTTCTGCACTGGTAAGGCCTTTTTAAGTCAGTTTACCGTCAAACCTATCCTTTTAATTGTTGAATAAGTAAATAAATAAAACTTGTCGTTATATTTGTTATAAAATAATTTGCAGTACGGTATTAACATTTGATATTTTCCACACCATCTTACCTGAATCATGCAGCTTTGTTGAGTTAGATCGTTAGAAGTCCCAGTTAATGATCTCAATTCTCAAACTGTTTTGACTACTCTACCGATGACGGACGAGTAAAGTGTCTAGCATTTTGATGGAGTTTTTGTAATCGCTTCAAACGCAAGAGGGCGATAATTAGAAATTACGATCAATAAATTCGATATTGTATACTGTACTTAGTGTACGGGGCGCCTTTCCTTTCTTCAAACACAACCTACCTCCATGCAGAAACAAATACTGCATGTATAACATTCATTGTGTTTATATACCACAATACAATACTACTAAACAACCATTAAAATAATTAATAGGCCCAACTGCTTATAATGAATAATAATTTAATGTTATCATTCAGAATGCATTTTTATTTAAAGAGAGGATATTGCTATAGCCATGGCGGTATAAAATTAGATAACGACTTCCTGTTTTATCATTTAGATGTTGAGGGTATAGGCGACACCATGCTCAACATCCAATTTTGTAACAGTACGGGGAGTCTATTGGATCCAATAATGAAGTAAAAATATACAAAGTTAAAAAGTACCCAAAAAAAAAATGGTTCTGAGAGTATATTTTCTGACCATTATTTTCCCAAACATCATTTGATGAGCTCCCGTCCCCCCGCCAACCCTTAGGTTCGTCCGTCCATCACATGCTTCCCCCGCCAACCCTTAGGTTCGTCCGTCCATTACATGCTGCATATTTATGTGTCCAGAATTTTTAACCATCATTTCTTGGAAAATAATTCCACAAATGTTGATTTTTATTGCTTGACGGTAGGCTGGTGGCAGGCCAAGAAACCTACTTTACGTAACGGTATAGTATATCAGATGTGTCTAGGTCCGACGGTGTCGCCCAAAGAGAAGCCTACATTACGTATGTGTCTAGGCCTAGGTACACCAGGTCCGTCAATCTTAGCCGTTAAAGTATACTAAAACACTAATAGAACACACAGAACACCTTCAAATAATAGCACAGGTAAGTGGTCGATATGCCACAACTATCTCAGCTTGTTCAATGTTTACTGACAGTCGCGAAAACAACATAAAGAACTTTTCTAGGCAGCTCGCGACAGAAACAAAATGTCGGGAAAGTTTGACCCGACGCATGCGCAAATCAAATTTTCGACTAAAAAACGACTCAAAACTGGTGGTAGGGGGTATATGTCGCCTACAGCTTACATTTTCATCTAACCGAAAAAACAAACATTTCTTGCACAATTGCATGTTCACCAGCAACTATCGAGCACAATGTATACCTGCCGCGATGCACCGTTTCGGAGCCTATTTGTTTACAAATATGCTGACCTCTTTTGGTTGCACATCTCATTGAAACATTTTACATGTGAACCATTACATTAGTTCCATGTGACCTAAGGTCACAAAGGAACTAAAAAGGAACTAAAAATGATATGACCTCAACAGTGTATTGGGAATTGTTTTCAAACTTAAGCTCAAATTTGCCAACAGAATGCCTTTTTAAAGACATAAATAGCAATGTCCAAAACGGCGCCTCGTACTTGATACAGTCCTTCATCCTATTAGCACTAGTACTAAACCATATACAATACAGCTCCAGTTAGTTGTAGGCCTAATTGTGTTGTGTATTCGGGTTCTGGTTCTGGTGGCTAAAGCCGACCTCTTAATGACTTCAAAAGTGTAGGAGTATAACAGGCGGGGTAGAAATAGTGTTGAATGACAGGAAAGGCCCACCACGGCAGTTTAAGACGCGCAGCGTCAGTCATGAGGAGGCTTGCCTCAGGCCGCATTGAGGAGCTGATTGGTAGGTAACTCACAATTAAAAAAGCATCGCCTTTGCCAAAAAAAAAAAAAAAAAAAAAAAAAAAAAAAAAACCCTTTCCAAAAAAAAAAAAAAAAAAAAAAAAAAACACCATTTGGTAGTGAAATCTCGGAGCGTTTAGAGGTAGAGTAAGCGAAAATTACACCTTCAAGAAAGGAGGCGAGAAAGTTTGGATGTTAGAGTAATGCACTGAATGATGACTATCTTGTATAAAAAAAGTTATTTTCTAGACCATCGACGCGTGGATGAAAGGGTCCTGGCACGCGGTGAATATTTATGCCACACCTCTTACATTTTATAGATTTATAATATCAATTAGTTTAGAGTTAAGTAACCAACCATGTTAATAAAACAAAATTAAGAATCTGATGTAAACTATTAAAAATCATTGACTGAAGGTTAGTTAAGTATGTAGGTCGACTCAAGTGCCGAGAAATAGGCATAAAACTAGGTGATATAATGAGGGCAACTCGTCAGATAGGCCTACGTACATTGTGAGCTCCCGAGAAATCTCTAATTCAAATTGATTTCGCGCTAGATAAGTACACACTATACCCAGGGAACAGTGAAATGAGTTCACTGTTCCCTGCTATACCTAAACAAAATTACCACAAATTGCAAATTTCAAAATCACTAATCTAGTTTATCAACTTAGAAAGATGTATATTCGTCACCAAATTTACAGTAAAAGATTTAAGAGATTCGGCTAAATAGGCCTAATTATACTGCAAAACAACGAAGATATACATGTGCATATAACAAAACACTACCGGTATGAAATAGCAGGAGTTATGAAATATACGGTAGTTATATATTGGCTCGTAAACTGATAACAAATTATAGTCAGTCGGATCTACCTACAACAGAGGGCCGTAATTGAGTAAAATTACGAATCAATTGCAAACTATGTTTTATGCGAATGATATAGTATTCATTTGACATAAGTTATAAGGCCGACCCAACAAATTGAGAAATTGGAGCGGTGTTGGCGTTGCTTAACGGCCCCTCTACATCCTTGACGAAAGCGGGTTTGGTTTCCCGCGTGACCAAATGCCGCGAAAATGGGTTACTGACTGAGGCTATAGATTTCTGATTATCATGCATAATTTCGCCCGTTTTTATCATTTTAGAAAAAAAAAATACTTAAAATATACAACCTGGTCTTTTCTTCGTTTCCATAGATTTTGACGGAATGGAATCGCAGCCGACGATCGCGTGATCTATGATTCTTTATTATAATCATTCAAGATTGATGCGCTCAACAAATTAATTAAATCTTCTCGAGAAAGTTATATTTAAAAGCAGGCTCAATAAACTCTCCTTTGTGATTTTTTTATATAGGCAATGTATAGGTCGTTTAAATCCTCTACGATTAAATCTTTCAGTGAATTCTACACGAAGTAGATTCTCAAGACAGTTGTATTATTTTCAATCATCGTAAGTATGGTGTCGATTGGTTAGCAAACTGCAATGACATCTTTAAATTCACCAGAGTGCGTGCGAGCATTTGTCGGTTCATTTCACTGAGCTAAATGATTAAAGTACAACTATCTTATGTGTCAAACATTTTGAAATAGAACTGAAGTTGTTTAATTCAGTTGCCTCTTTTAATTTACTTAAATATATTTTATCGGTACAGACTTTCAACCTGTTACGCGATTACACTTTATAGAGAAGTAGATGATAAAAATAATGCTTAAAAACAATAGGCCTATATTTGCAGTAATAAAATCATCAATAAAATAGTGTTCATAATTGGTATTCATTACATTGTTATTCCATAAATGGAAACATTATCGATAATCCTGAAGAAAAAGGCCTCGACAATCACAGAAAAAACGTATTTAATGTTTGGCAAATGATAGATTTCGTAAGTGTGTATATACCAAGGACTTTTACATGTAATGACAGGTATTAACTGTAACGTACCGCACGATCGTATCACACAAACATGTTGCTGGGAACTGTTTTAGCAATTGGTTGGAGTTTTATAATGTTTGGATCAGTACCGGTAACAGACCGTGCTAAATTAATGTTTCTCGTCCTCGATACCATCATGTTGTCATCTGTTGTTTCTGAGCTGAAGCAGAAAAGAGACTTTACATTCGTCCTGACGATAGTGCACGTCGTCTTGTTGCAATTGAAAGCAAGGAAAATAAATACACCTTGGCTACTGTTCAGGATGATAAAAAGAAACACAGAAATCATGTTTTGTGTAAAAGCCGCCAGAAATGCGAAAATCCACGTGAACCCCATGATACTGGATAACTACAATAAATAGAAAACACATAATGTATTACATTAAATACTTTTACACCAATGAGTTAAAAAAAATACATTAGTAAATACTTTAACGTTAATGTTGCTGAGTGGATGTTTGCCTCTGAGCCGCTCACTTTAATTCAAAATATGCCACACTGTCGATATCAACAGAGACGTAACGCAAGCTTATAAGATTCATTATGCCTATTCTCAAATTCTACCAATTTTTATACCGTATTTATTATAATAAACGCCCCGCTTTCAATAAACGCCCCATCTAGAGCCTCATTTGAAATAAACGCCTCCCTCGAATAACCCCGAGGCGTTTATTTCTTTCTCGAATAAATGACATCCCCCCCCCCCACCCAATGACAAAACAACTCTAATGGAAGAAATATCACTCTAAACACATCTATTAATGTTCTACTCCAGTAGAATTGCATATTTGTTCTAATCGGGTTGGGATCAATAGTATATTATCACGGAACAACACATTTTGGCAGTAATTTATAAAGGATAACCCACGGAAGTCTGAGGAAGACTTATTTCTAGTGGGGTACTTCCGGTGGTGATTTGGCAGTACACCGGGAGACAATCCCCTACTATACTGTACTGCGTTATTTAACGTTCACATGGGCCATAATGCATACGGGACCAACGGCTTAATTAACTCATCCAAAAGACGATGCGCTATCGCAACTTGCATTTCAACCCTCCAGTTGAAATACAAGAGAGCATAGGAATTGACCAGGGAACCAAGACATCTCCACGACTCAGTGCACACAACCCTCCAGTTGAAATACAAGAGAGCATAGGAATTGACCAGGGAACCAAGACATCTCCACGACTCAGTGCACACACATTGGCTACCACCAGTTTAGCTGACTGAGCTTTTACAGTGAAATAAAGGGGCGTTTATTGATACGTATCCATTTTAAATGAAACAAATTATGGGGCACACCTCCCTCGAATAAACGCCCCCTAAAAATCCCCCTCCTAAAAATGTTATTCAAATAAATAGGGTACAAAATGATTGTAACATACGTACCTTAATGTATATTATAATTTCCCTTTGAAATAGTTCTATAATCGCATTACATCCGGCTTCGGATTGTACGACCGCGCGTGTCTTGTGAATGCTACGTATAATCAGTAGAAATATAACAAAGTTAGTGAAGATTACGATAGCTATTGGTAAACCGAATGCGTATAGATTAGCTCGGTTATCAATAATCCAGCAGTTACTATGTACATCACCATATGTAAACTGGACGGTCAGCATATGGTGCAGAATCAAGCAGACGAATATAATGACAACAGGAAATCCCCATCCATAGCAACTGTACGCAATGCACATATTGTAAGAATTCTCCGCGTAACGCATTTTTAACTTCTGCATGCCTAAACCATGCCACGCTTCAATTGCAAAAGCGTTTTGCCAAAAAAATACTGATAACCAAAAGTAATGAAGGAGTACGGCAAATGCTGTACATACTCTTGTATCAAACCTTGCTAGGTGCTCACAAAGCACAAGACACTGTCCAACGATGAGAGCCACAGAAGTTTGGACTATCATCTTACCGGGAAGGTTACGCATTGACTTTATTATACAGCGAAACACAATAGTCAGTAGAAGTCCAGCAACCGACGATAATGTCCCGACAATGTTAACCCAAATCATCGTTTGAGAAAGTTCAAGAAACCGATTTTCATTGCCAAAACCGCTAGCTGTATTAAAACTCGTAGTGTTCAAACTTTCAGAGCAAACGTAGAGGGCTCCATCTCCAGTAAGCTGAAAACTTTTTCTTGAGAATACCGTTTGTGTGTTGGTGTGTGTCATGGCAAAATTAAAATTATCGAATACAAAATCTGATTGGTTATAAACAACCATTGCGCATGTTTCATTAAATGAAACTTTGCATATTGTTGTTCTCTGACTTGCGCATGTAGGTCTACTGTCGTTTTTATAATATTGGAATTTCTGCATAGCTAGAGCGTAGAAATAATTACCAAATGTTAAATTAGGTATAAAATAGAAATTAAAATCCTCATCAAATGACTCTCGACAGGCCTCGTATTCCCCTTCAAAATTAGAAGTAGTAGATAGTACTAAATCGCATATTTGTACGATATTAATACCAATCGAAGATGCGCAATTGTACCAAGTTATATTAATATTTGTTGAATTTAAGTCTATCCATTCGTCAACAATGTGTTCCACTGTTAAATAGTACATTGTAATACTAATCGTTGTCAGATCCTTTAATTCCAGACTATTAAGTTCTGGTAGGTCTACATTTTCTATGACAAATCTTGTAAGCAAAGTTGCGTTCTTGAACGTACCTTCGACTTTAGAGTAAAGATACTGAGATTTTAATTCGTTCCCTGCTATAATAATATGATGTGCTTCTGAATCTAGAAAATCGCGAATACAATTACTATCGAATTTTGTGTACGTAAGTTCATAACGTATTGTGGTAACAAATGTCAGATTCATTTTGCACGGGCGTAACTGGAAAGATTTAATTTTCTCATCGTTGGTACAATTAACATTATTTTTGTTTCGCTTTGGCGTGTCTAACTTTTTTATTTCTTCTAGTTTTCTTAAACATGTACTACCTCTCAATTCGTACATTTCTGGACAAATTAGTGAGATGCACTGCAGGGTAAATGGGTCACCAATATATCCCTCACCACAGGAGGGCGCACCTTTAAACTCCGTTATTTTTGTACCAACACCTGAAACTTTTGTCCTCGATCCATCGAACTGAACCAAAATTAATAGTGTACTACTCGATAATACCAACGGTCGTTCGCAAGGCAATTGTGAAAGGAGAGTAAAAGAACCTATGTTACAGATGGCGCAATGCCAGTTTCTATAGAGTTGGCCGTTTTCAAGATAATAACCTGGGCCTAAGTAATCCCGGCATGCGTTTTTATCAAACTCGGCTGAATATTCAGGGCAAGCCTGAACAACAGATTCGGATTGAGGTACACATTTTCGTACTGGATAGAAATAACGTGGACTATATTGATAACTTGTTTTGTTGTCGAGAAAATTATTTAAACTATTGGAATCTTCATCTGGGTTGCTATTTAAAAAATTATAAAAGTCATAATTCAGTCTACTCTCTACAACCCACGGTGCTAAGTCATTCAGGCTTTTACCGTTACAAAGTGCGCAAAACACATTCCGAAACGTAATACCATCGCTAATGCAAGTCACAGGTAATGAATAAATCAACGATTGTTGTAACAAAGAAGAGTTTTGGCAAAATGATATCAATTGTTTTGTAGGTAAATTTACTTTACTCTCTATTTCTTTGCAAACCGTTACCATCCAATATGCACCGAACTGATGTAGACTTATCCCATCCCGGTTTGTCACAACACATGTGTACACATGTTCATTAAATATTGTTTCTGCCATACCCCTGTCGATGCTTTGTTTGTGTCTGTTATCAATATGACTGTATTTGAATATGTCTTCTGCGTTGTCTTTTGCGCATAGGTGGACGTAGTCGTAGCAACAATCTTTGAAGACCGAGCAATGAATGTCACATTGACAGGTTCGATTGTGCTCGTATTTTCCGCAGAAATTCGTATTAGAATCCACACAAGACGATCCCTTGCAAACGAAAGCGTTATTATCGTAGGTACTGACCAATTCTTAAAAAAAAAAACATGACCGATGACCAATAATTATGATTGTATGTTTTCTAATGAAGACTATATGCACATTGCAATGGAAATCGTCTTTCTAAATGATCGTAAGTTATTATTATATGTAATTCACATTGAAGTGAACGTGAATTACATTTATTTCAATTCGTTCCATGTTTTGTTTCATATTCTTAAAAATGAATGACTTACCAACCGACTGCCTAACTGAGCAACTGACTGCCTGGCTTAGAGACTCACCAACTGACTGCCGGAATAACTGATTGACTGACCGACTTAATGATTGACTGACAAACTGGATGACCAGCTAACTAACTGACTGTCTGTCTGGCTCAACAACCAACCAACCGACAATCAACTAACAAACCGATTGACTGACGATGGTGACCATTATTATTATTAGTAGTAGGCCTATTATTATTATTATTATTATTATTATTATTATCACTACTACTACTACTACTACTACTACTACTACTACTACTATTACTACTGATATTACTATTATTATTATTGTCACTTGGTTGGCGCTAAAGCCTTAATTATTGATTAGATTACTAAATATTATTATTATTATTATTATTATTATTATTATTATTATTATTATTATTGTCACTTGGTTGGTGCTAAAGTCTCAATTATTGATTACTCTATATGTATCCGAATTATATAAGAGCATACTTACGACTCCTGTGCTGTGAAAACAAAGCAGACATCAACAAAAGAATGACTAGATGTATGCTGGCACTTTCCATGTTATTCTGAAAGAATTATCCGCCAAGAAATCTTAACAGGAAACTGTAATAAGAGGTTAGATGGTATAATTACGTCACCATTAGAAACAAGATAACAGCAAATACAGGTTATTAAGAACATATTATTCAGAATAAAATACAATAGGCCTATAATGAAAAATAATAAAAAAGAAGAGAATAAGCAATCGAGGCTAAAGAAAAGTTGATGAAAATTGTGATAGTGGTGGTAATGATAATGATAATTCGTGATGATGATGAAGATGATAATGATGATGATGATGATGATGATGGTGAAGATAATAACATGTTGATGAAGATGATGGTATTATGATATTGACGACGATTACAACGATGAAAAAGCCAATGGTGACGGTGATAATGAAGAAAAATGACGAAAAGTAGGATGATAATACATGATGTAATGCCAAATACGATGGCGATGAGGATGGTGTTTGATGGCAATATAATGACGATACGATGATGATGTAGATGTTTGATTATGACGATAACAATGATGCGTAAAGAAAAGGTGTCGGTCTTTACCTCGTTTACATTCGTCCTGCTTTGTCTTTTTCTTCCAATTAAGTGACACTACAATCAATCTTCGAAGCTCAACCACATGAAACTCAAACTCATGACAAGTTGAACTTTCATATCATACCCTGAAGAAGAATTGAAATGACTAAACGTAAAAAGACAGGCTAAACCAGTCACACGTCGCAAAAATCGATTTTATATTATTAATATAGAATCTTGGATTGAAACGTAAAATGAGAGCTATAAAATTGTAAAAGAATAATTTAAATCCAGCTATTCGTTATGAAGTTACAAGAGTTTAAACAGACAGCTATTTAAAAAAAACAATATTTGAGAAATCAGACTTTAAAGTTGATTTCGGGCATTTTTCAGGCAGAAACCATCACCAAATCGTTAAAAATTGTTGTTTTAAGATTAAAAATGGGGAAAATAACAGCATAGCATGATGATATATAGATAATAAAAGGTTAGTTTAGTGCAATAAAATATATTTCAAACATTTTGATATTCCAGCATGTTTTGACCATTATCTGAAACAGGATTTGCGACGAGTAACTGGTTTGGCTTGTCTTTGCTACAAATGTAAACAGTACAACTCGTATTGGTGTCTTTGTTACAAATGTTGCCTTAGTATGCCTCCTGTGCTAGACCATGTACAGTACAACTCGTATTGGTTGCTCCACAGGGGGTCTACGACAATCTTGCTTAACACTTTAACAATAAAATCACTCAACTGTAAAACTAAATGTTAAGTTTAAAGAAACAAGGTCCAATCAGGGAACAGTTAATTTCACCGTTCCCTGGTCCAATCTATCTAAAATATTCAATAATAACAATACGTTCAAGAACACAGATTTGAATCAACATTTAATTTTAGTTTATCAAATTATTCTTATTATGTTAATTTTTATAATGCTTAATTTTATTTTGTATTTAAACGCATCTATATCTATTTCATTATCATGGTCAAATAAAAATTGTGGAATAAGCTGTAGTTAATTCAATAAATTTTCCGGATTAATTTTTTTTTTAAATTATTTTTTGGCTTTTTATGGTTTTGATTCAAAAGCATATCAATACTGTATTAGTCTTTAAAAAACAAATCATCAATCTGCTACTCAAAGCATATTGTATGTATAACGGATATTAGAAGCAACATTCAATAGGATGAAGCCATATTATCCAGTATACTCGTTCACGATTCGGCGGTTCTTGTACTTCACAAGTATGCAATGATATCAATATCAAGTATTATAATTAGGCATTTGGAATACTACAGTCATGTACGAATGAGTTCTGTTTAACGTGAGTGTAGACATTTTTGAAGTGGAGATGTAGCTTGGCGGCTAAGATGCCTTCCAATCTAGGGTCCTGGGTTCAAATCCTGTGATGGCAAAGAATTTGTTTCTCCACCAGAACAGTGAAGAGACTTGGCTGATAAAGCATCATGTTATTTCATGTATTTAAGAGGGCGCCCCCTGAATATCAGTTGGCGTTCAATGATACGCTGGGGTCACCCTCTATAAATAAAATCTTCTGTAACATTAAGAATTTTATTTTATCATGCACTCATTTGCTGCTGGTTTATACCGTTAAAAATTAAGTAAGCTGCGGAAAACTCATAGTTCCCAACCACAGAGAAAAAGCTTAGCTCAGTTGGCTGAACTGGTGGTAGCCACTGTGTGCGCGCTAAACCGTAGCTGTCGGTCCCGGTTCAATTCCCAACGCTGCTCTCCTTGTGAAATGCAAAATTCAAATTCTCAAAGTTGGTCCTGTGTGCAAAATGGCCCATGTGCACGTTAAAGAACACATTGCACTTTTCGGAAAAGAGTAGCTTTTCAATCCGATTGTCTCCTGGAGTACTGCCCATTCACTACCAGAAGGACCCCACTAGAAATAAGGTCTTCTTCAGCCTTTCGTGGGTTATCCATTCATCCACTGATGGACATCGCTCGTTATGCTTCTCATGGCTCAGACCTACCTCATAAATCAATGCATACTGCCGATTTTTTTATATTTTAATTCTATTGTTCTATTTCATTTATTTCATATTAAGGCCCATGCTATTAATTAATGACTATAACCAAAACAAGAACAGAGAGTAGCGGAGTGTGATGTTAACTAAAAATTATGCTTATGTACCGTACGGTAGCTTATAATTCAACCTAAACCTAGGCCTACACGTTTTTAGAGGAATATGGCACTAATCTAACTCTGGATGTACAATATAATTTTAATCAACATTCAGTGAACCCATAATTAATGTAATCATACGACGATGGACATGGGAAATAGGTAATACCGACAATACAATCAGTGGGTAAACATCTTTGGAGATATAAGGATTTGCTATAAAAAGAACGATTGTCTTTTTTTGTAAAATTATGTTGGAAGATTGCTAAATTATTTTGTTTTAGCTATGTTTTTTTTTACGATAAAGAGTGACCCTTACAGCGTACCCTAGAAGGTCGGCTGATATTCAGGGCCCTCTTAAATAAATGAAAATAACGTGATGCTTTTATCAGCGAAGACTTTCATGAGGCTTAGGGAGTGGAGTTGTTTGTAGTCGTGAGAAGAAGTCCTGTTGTGACAGAAATTGATCCCAGGACCCTGGGATTAGAAGGCAAGCATCTTAACCACTAAGTTATTAAAGGTGTTGTATTGGTTTGCATTTTTTTAGCAGTAGCAGCAGAAGCAGTGTAGTAGTAGCCGCAGTAACTGCTGTTGCTACTGAAATCGATATTTTTCCCCAGTACATGAAACAATAACAGACACAATAACAGTATAATAATAGCAGAAACAATATAGGCCTAACAGTATATTATAATTATATCACGTCATAAATATATCCAATTAAATACAACTGAAATACATAAATCCACGAATCAAACTATTAGAAAATAAATTCATTCAGATTGTTGAAGAAAAAATATACTGTTTTTCGACATTTAGTCACATGGTCTGCAATAGGCATACCTATGCCTAAAGTTAGTATGCATATCGACTGTATGCATGCGACAGGCATATAAAGAGAGTTCAAAAAATAATGTGATCAAAGACACACAAAGCCGACATTATCAAAATTCACTATTAAATAAATGATTACACGCTTACCTAATGATTACGGAAACCATAACTATACAGTCACTCTCAGTCAAAACATATTTGAGTAGATAAAAACATCAGTAAATTATTGGAATAACTCGCATTAAATAAAGCACAAGTTGCATAGGAATTTATCGGACTATAACGCTATGCACCGTGCACTCCCAATGGTATCATATGATTTGAATCGTCATACTTGATCTCGTTGTCATGGCTACATGACCTATATGCTTCTCAGATTTAGCCTCTTGTCCTCACAATGACACTGTTTTGTAATTGTATGTATTTACAAACATATAATATCATAATGATTACCACTATTAATATAGAGCTAATTGATGAAACTAAACAACGATAGGCAAGGCCTATACAGGCCTAGTTTATGCCAACATAACCGACCTAAATATTAAATCGTGTGGTAATTACTGAAAGCGATCCATGACCATTGATAGATAGTAACGAATAGGCCTACATTAATCGGTGATCGATAGGCCTAATTGTTATTTGAATTTGAAAAATAAAAAAACGTTTTAGATAATATTATGCAATTTAATAATGTTATAATTTAAAGTACCGGTAGGAGTTTAGAGATTTCAACACAATCATAAGAGGCGGATCCAGAGATGTCCGAAAGGGGCCGAAAGTGGGGAGGGGGGCGATTGAGAGACAACACTACCCTATTGGAAATTTTTTGTTTTCTAGACGCTCGGAAATAACATCTCAAAACACTCAAAACAGAGGTTTTATGTGGTGCAAATTGCGTATGTTCATTGGAGACAATAAAAGTTTTCTGAGTCTGATTCTGATTCTAAGATGTTCAAACCAGTAAAATGATTTTGGTAAAGTCAAGCACAGTCAAGGATATGAAATAACGAAAGTATGGAAAACCTATCATTAAAGAAAAATTTGAGGACATTCAGAAATTATTAACAGGAAATTTTACAAATGACGGTACCTCGTTGGTGTCTTGAGGACAATTTGGTAAGGGCAGTTGAATTATTAATTTTATACTCGATTTGATGGAGTGAACTATGTTTATGTTAGGTACCATGAGATGATTAGGTTTAATGTCTCTGATGTCGAAAGGCCTTTAAGAAATATTAAACTTAAAAATGCCTGTGGGCAAGATGGAATTATTGGTAAATAATGTTTACAAAGGTCTTACTTGCAGATAACCAACCATCAACTTCTGACGCGTGCCTAATATTTAACAGCGCCCTCAACGTCGACAATGATCTTCTTTACAAGATTTCACTAGTTGGCATCATGATTTGTATACAATTTTAATGATTTATTGATTAATATATACTTTTTATGTGTAAGCTTATATGCTATTTTAATTTGTATAATTAAGCAAAATAACAATGGGGTTTAGAAAATTAATCTTATAAACAAACCCTTTTCTTTCTTAAGTAGAACATACACAATTCAATAGGCCTATACATTAACATCTTCTAATATCCCTCCGTTCGTAAATGGCAGGTTCGTAATTGGGAGATGTTACTGTACATCTAAATACAAAATATAGAGAATAAAAAATGATGCAGGAACAAACATGTCTAATTTAGTTACACTATTTGTCGGGTATACAATACACAGAGTTTTTGCCGCAAATAAATTTATGCCTTTTTTTTAAGGGGCTGGGGGGCCAGTGTTTAGAACAAGATAATCGAAATAAATGAGAGATGATATTGAAAGGCAAAGACCCGCATAAAACTTTTTAACATATTTAGGCAGGATAACATATACAGACGAGATAATTAACGATGTTTACAATGTGCTCCTGGAATAATACTGTACAATACACAACAAACAAGAAGGTAACTGAAACAATTTTGGGGGAGAGTGTACACACAGTGGTGTAAAATAATGCAATGATAGGCTTTATATTTATTTCCCTGTATGCAATATATGATGGAAAGACTTGAAAAGATTTTTCACTTTTGAAATAAATGTTTTTTGGCAGGCCATAGAAGGTTTGTGTCAAGAATTGACAGTGTCAGTAATTTCAGCTTCCGTAACGTCAGTATTAATGATCCCAGATAAATATCGATCCACAATTAACTAAAAACACATTGGTAACTAGACGCTAATGAAAGATTTCACTAAAGACAAATTTAGAAAATAAAATTACTGATGAGCTTTGTTTATGTGGGTAATATGGATCTCTCAAGAGATTAGATATTGTACTTGTGCTGTGTGTGCATTAAAAGGATTATTAGGCAGTGGTTAGGCAGTGGTTATAATAATACAACGCTGTCCCTTTCGTTCTACACGTTTTCACGTCTCTGTTCGTTTAATTTAACTTGGCAAGCACCCTTTAAGAATTCTATGTATTCGTAATTTGTACTATTTCCTTGGTCACGTACCGTATTGGAAAACAACAGACAGGATAATAGGAATAATTTAATTTAATTTCATATCAATGCAAAATTGAACATTTTCCCGCCTCTGATTAGTAAATTAAGTGCTATTGCCGTCAGGAAATGAATAAATTATTTTTATAATAAACCAATCTATTTTTTTATAATTAATTACTTCTAAAAACTGGCAACTTGCAGAGAGG